TTRAYTTGAGTCAAATTTTCAGACTAACAAGACAAATAATCTTACACATTCTGAAAACAAGATTGTTATTCTTAAACAATCAATTCTTTTTTAGTAAATCAGTCTCAAACCAAGATCAAAAAGACTTTTTGGCTGCTTATTTGATTTTAAAACTTGGTATGATGGACAGTTTTGCAGTGTACCTCAAACACACAAAATCGCTGATTATTCTAACATGGGTGTTTTCACATCAGTGCCAACAATATTGAGATGTTATTTATAAATCTGAGGTGATGGTTTTGACCTATTCCCATTACATTAAATTCTCATGAGATAAGCATATCTGACAGCTAATTGCTAGAATGCAATTTTCTCATATCTTTTTGGGAAGAAGTTTGAACATAGGAAATTGGTTTGCTTGACTTGTTAAGCTAGTTGTATAGTGCCTGGTGTGAGGGGGTGCGTGCCAACAGTGACGCAATCGCGCTGTCGGCACCCCTTTGGCACGGTGTCCCGGCACGTGATTGTGCACCTCCGAATTTTTGTAACTCCACAAAGGCTGCGCGTGCCACATACCATTCAAATTGTTTGTTTGTCTGTTAAGTTTTTGCTCTCAGTTATAAAGTGTACTGCCACGTGCCCTTTTGGAGAATACAACAACAACATAATCATCAAGTATAAACACCTACAGCGCTGGCGAGGGTGCGCACGTGCCCTACGCCAGTACCCAAAGCGCCACTATAATTTAGCCTTTAAGAATGCTCTTATCTATGTTTCAAATAAATCGTAATTTAATTTCTCTCTTTTTTGCTTGATTTTCTTTCTGTTTGCCAGGGATTGAGCTGTGCCTGCCTGGATGGCGGTTCTCCATGACCATGGTGGCCAGTTTCGTGGTTTTGGGAGGTCAGCTCCTGATGCCCGGGGTAGCCTACCTCTGCCGTGACTGGCAGGTTCTTCAAGTTGTCATCATCTGTCCCCTGCTGCTTATGCTGTCCTACATTTGGTAAGGAAAAAGAAAACGTTAGCAATGTGCTCCAATCTGGTTCACAGCTTTGTGTTTTTCGTTTTGGCTTAATTTTTAAAGGGGCACAGAGCTGATTTGTTAGTGGAGTCATCCATTCATTAATGAGAGAGGGAAGGAGGAGAAACGGTGCATCCTTTGGGCATTTGTTTAAGAAAACATAGCAGATGTTTGGGAGCATTTGTCTGACATATATCTTTGGAAATAACCACCAGATAAAGCTACAAACTAAATGATAATATTGCAGTAAAAAAACAATTATATAAAATCAAGTCAAATGAAAATCTAAACTATTGTAGAATAAAACACACTAATGAAGTACACAAAAATCACAACAATGGTTAACCGGAAACTTTCATTAATAGTAAATGAGAGCATTTACAAGTTCTGGCTTTAACTACTTACCATTTAAAGTGTCTTCTTCATTAACTCATTCACACCCTTTCATCAGGCTTTTATATGTAAAATCTCCCTCAGAGAAGGACAGACACAACTCTTTGATTCGCAGACATTTTCATTGCCTTGTTTAGATGGAATCTGACAGATTGTGCCAGAGAAAAAGTCCAAACTTTCCTCTCCCATGGTTTGACCTGCTGTAATTARCTTCGGCCCTTTGTCATTTTCTTCACTGTCTGAGCGTAATGAATAGGAGAAAACTGAATGAAAGTCCTTGGTCTGCAGCAAAGACCTGCTCTGTGTCTGTCCATATTTCAACAGCCTCTGTGATTCCTCTCCAGTTTCATCTTGTTTAACAAAGTGCAGACTGCCTGTTAGCTGGAAATGAAATTTGATGGCTTGATGTTAGTTTGTTGTAGAAAATCCGTAACTCTAAAAAACAAAGAAAATGGTAAACTTGATTCTGATTTGACATTCGGCAGTGATATTAAAGTGAAAGATTACACTTGCCTCGTGTTAACAAGGTTACCGTGTCTCAAAGGTTTAACAGTTATTTCCTTAAATGCACTATTTAATGTTACACACACACACACACACACACACACACACACACACAC